TTTTTTTGGTCGAAGTATTCTATTAAAGTTATTTAAGTTTTACATTTCGTGTGTTTTTGATTCTAAATACTCTTTAAAAGACAGTAAACTATGATAGAAATATTTAAGGGGACATGGTGCGATTTGAGCAAAAAATTTTAATTTAAGGATTTTCAAAATTTTTTTGGTTGCCTCCTATGTGTGTATACTATGTAAAACAGGTTTTGTGCTCAAGATTTCATAAAAAGATAGCCATTTAATTTTTTTATGAAAATACTTAAAATTTGTGAAGTGATTTTAAAATACTACTCCCTCCTACAAAAGTTTACATACCTACATGCATGAAATTTGATTTACAAGTACGTCAAACTATGCATAACAAAAGTTGGTATGGGTTTTCCGATAACGTGATTGGTATTCGTACAGTACTTCTTTTTTATGAATGCTTATTGAAAATTCCTTAAGAAATATACAAATTCTTAGTTCAATCATTTTTTAAAAAAATAAGTATTGCTTTGATTTAAAAATGCATACCAACTTTTGTTACGTGTAGTATTGGCAATAGGTAAAAAAATCAAAGCATTAGGCACAATATAGAAAAAAAGCCTTAGCATTTTAAATGGATACAAACTAGTTATTTTATCTTTCCGAGATAAGTAAGTTTAAAGTTTTGATTTTCCATAGGGATGTGAATAAAAACGAACGCAAAAGCTATCACAATTCTGTGTATTTTATGTTTAGAGCTTTCAAATTTTGTTTGGTTGTAGAAAATTTTATAAAAAATAGTTTAAGCTAAAAAAATTAACTTTGATTTTTTGACCGATTTTTGTCATTTGAATCGTACTGTGTCCCCTTAATGATAATTAAGGCATTGTAATTTTTATAGTTGATTTTATCTGTGATTATAATTTTTATAATTAATGTGGTTAATACGAGTTTGCCAAGCTTTTCATTATCCCTTCATCTCTCAAACTAGAAAACTCTTAGTTTTTTACGAACGATGCTTAAAATAAATTGATTTCGCTGATGGTGTTTAATTAACTGTGATTAATCATATAGAGGCAGATTCATTATATCCTCTAAAAAGTATGAAGGTCTTAAAATTTAAAAAAAAAATTAAGGTTAAATCAGACATTGTGTATCAAATATAAAGGAAAAGGTAGCTTTATTTGTCTCACTTTTTATGGCTGTTATAGATTGAAGCAATAAAAATGACATACATGTATATACTAAAACAATTAACCCCCTGATTTGCAAATAAAACGAAATTGAATGTACATTTTCCCCGGAAAAGAGGATTTCCGGTACCGTTGGGAAGGAAAGAGGACCTTGAATGTAAAAAAAAAACTTCTTTGCATTATTGTTTTCAGGACAAGATGATTTAAGACACTAATGTCAGGCTCTGGCTATAATCAGAAACGTCTTAAGACTTTTTGAGGTCCTTGGCTCCTATACAATAGTAGGCCCTGCCTGTGATGTTTAAGAGTAGACAGTACACAGCAAGCATTGTCAAATACTCGTACAAACGGTAACTTGAAACAAATAAATGTTCATGACTCACAATGCCTCAACCTTAGGCACAAGCCCGCTCGACCGATGGCCACATTTCGACTAAATGATCTGAATGATTGTTCATGACATTAGACTTAGGCCTAGACACGGACAATGGTCATCAAATAATCATAGCCTTGTCCCTTTTACCAGTTGACATGCAGTTTGGAATTCCCTGTTTTTCGAATAAATGCGGGAATATTATTCGACCATTAAAATTAGTCGGGTGATGATCTTATTAAAAATGAGTGAAGAACAAGACGAGGCCCTGGGCCTGGATCCAGTTGGCTTCCATTTGAGCTACTGGTGATGACTATTGTAATTTTGATTCAATATGTAATTAAATTAAGTTATATTTTCAACTAAAATAAACTGCTAATTGTAAAAAAATGCTACACCATGAAGGAATCATTAGAATCAAATGAAATTTGCAGCAAATATCACTTATAAGATGTTACGTAAAATAGTAAAGTATCAGAGCCACCGCGCATGAGTGGCGTGCGCAGCGCCCTCTGAACTGATGCTGAAAGCGTATAAATAGAGGGCTGTAGCGGGACTTTGAAAATAGTTAATAATTATTTGTTAGTGGCGAACGTTTAGTGAGACCTAAGTATGCCTCCACGACGAAATAAGGAGAAATTCCAACAACTTACGGAGTTTGAATGGGGGAGGATTATCGGTCTTCGAGAAGGAGTATTTTTCTATCGCGCAGAAGGAGCTCGAGTCCAGTGGAACAATTCTCCAGGGATGCGAGATTGGAAGCAGTGGACCAACGAGCACAGAACAACTAAAAACCTGGAAATGTATGATGGAAGGTGACATCAGCGCGCGACGATCAACACCTGCTCCGCATGGTGGTGAATGACCGTACAGCTTCCTTCAGGCAGTTGGCAGCACGTTGGTCTACTGCTACAGATGTACTAATGTCGGCTTTGTCAATTTGTCGATGTCTGCTGCACCGTGGATTGCATACAAGGGTGCCTTTAAACAGGATTCCCCCTCTCGGCAAACCATTTATGGCTGCTTCTGCAATGAGCTCATGAGCACAGAGCCTGGCAAGCTGATTGGCACCAAGTTATATTTTCAGATGAATCACACGCTTTAATTTGTGGGACCATGATGGCCGCAATCCTGTTAGACGCTATGCCGGTGAATGCTGCCTACCAGAGTGCGTTATCGAACGACATAGTAGCCTAACATCCAGAGTTATGGTTTGGGGGTGCGATTTCGTATCATGGACGATCCAATTTGCTACGAAGTGAGGGTAATCTCATTAGCAACAGATACGTCTGTGAGGTGCTACAGCCCTAAGTCGTTCCTTTCTTTCAAGGCATCTTTGGAGCTATCTTTCAGCAGGATAATGCATGGCCACATGTTGCGAAGATTGTTCGAGACTTCTGTTCACCCCAACATATGCAACTTCTTCCTTGGTCTGCTTATTCGCCGGATATGTCGCCTGTTGAGCACGTGTGGGATTTGGTAGGTCGTCGTCTCACTCGGGATCCGCGTCCGGAAGCTTCAAAAAACGAACTTTTGCTGCACATACAGGCAATATGGAATTCTCTTCCATAAGCAGACATTCAAAATATGTTTGACTCCATGCCACGTCGTATAGCAACACTTATTGCAGCGCGTGGTGACTTCACCAAATACTGATTTCGGACACTTAATATTTTTTTTTTACTTTGAAAATTTCGTCATTTATTTGTACTAATACAAGTCGTTTGTGCATTGAATTTTATTTAATTCTGATGTTTCCTTCATGGTGTTGAATTTTTTACAAACAGCAGTATATTAGAAAATATAATTTATTAGGGTTTACTGATATAACTTCATAATTATTTTAAATATTTTTCAATTTTCTGTTAGTTCTTAATTTCGTTCGCGGCTTCGGAATATTTATACAAACATATAAGTAGTTTTAGAACTATCTAAGAGGACTTTCATACATTCTTAATTAATTAAGAATATTTCCTTATTATTAAGACACGTGCATGGTTTTTGTGAGCATTCTTAAAGCTACAGATTTTGTAGTATTAATTGTTAAGCCTATTTTTAGTTAGGCATTCCTCAGCTAATTCAAATCTAGATTATTTTTTTTTATTTAGAAGGAAATCATGAAAAGTTCAATTCTAAATTTTGATTCACAAATAAAATTATGTACTATTGTAACTAGTTAATATTGTAATCGTAATTCATTTTTTAAAAAATATACGCTGAATTAATTCATTAATCTATAGCTATTGTAATTATTCAAAATTGTAATCGTAATTCCTTTTTTAAAAAATATACGCTTAATCAATTCATTAATCTATAACTAGATTTAAAGAAGCAAACTTATTCTGAAAGATTATTATTTTGAGTCTCGTTGAATTTGAAAGTTTAAGTGCAATATTTTTATACATAAATATTTATACTCATAACGTAATACATTTAAAAACATATATTTATTATCTCCAATAATGTACAGACATCAGGAAAGTGATTTACCACACATACAGTTCAAGTGTCGTTTTTTCCATTTGGCAGTTGTTTTAAGTTACAAAGTACATCGCAATAACTTCGTACAGCTCTGAAACGTCTTTAACTTAGACCAAACTGTTAGAAATTAAGGCATTTTTATATTCAAATGCATAAATAGATTTCTATTCTCCCGTTTGATTCCCAATTCTGCCAATACGAACTTAATTAAAATTGAGATGAAAAAATAACTTAAATAACTTGGTTTCACTGTGTAATATAAAATAGTTCTTATCAATTTAAGTTTTAAAAAAAAATATATTTGAATTAATTTATGTGTTATCATCGAAAAACTCTGACTAAGAAATTTTATCTTCTTCAGAAAGATGTTGAATTGCTCTTTCTTTTCTCGGTCTTTCATCTGCCCTTCCTTTTCATCTTTCCTTAATTCCGAAGTCATGCACGTCGAGTTTTCGGAAACAACCGTTTTAAGATGCAATATTTCTTTTTCGAAGGGGGATGCTCTCAACCAGAATCTAATTTATACTTTGGATGTAACTCAGACTCTTTCGCTTCGTGAAATCTTCTTTCGTATCGATTCATTTTATATCAGTATCTTTGCTCTTCACGCTACTGATTTTACGTCTTATCGAAATTTAAAATAATAGTTTTCTTTCAATTGTTCCGTACATTCAGAATTAACCGACATAATATAAACAAATAATATAAAAAAAAATTAAGTCAGTTCCTACTTAAGTTCAACAAAGAAATATATTATTTTAGTTGCTTTTTATTAATTAATTTCGATTAATAGACATATGACAGAATCTCAATATTAAGAGTCAAAATAGAAAGCGATTTTCCTTGCAATTTTCCATTTTCTATTTTCCTTTCTATATATGGTGTTGGACTATTATTTTTGTTTGTTACTATATTTATTCATAAATTAAATTTAATTATTCCAATAAAATAGTATAGTAAAAAAGAAATCACATTCTTATAAATTAGGCCATCCCAGGTGGGATTCGAACGCACGATCTTTAGATTAGAAGTCCAACATGCTATCTATTGCACTTTTCCTTCCTATATATGATGTTGAACTATTATTTTTGTTTTTTACTATTTATTCATTAATTAAATATAATTAATGAATTAATATTTGAAAAAACTGTATTAACATCAAGTGTCCTCCACTACAAATTTTTAAAAATGTATTTGAACTTGATTGGATGAATAAAAAGTATTTTATTAAGGATTGAAAATTTGTGAACAAGATATATATATATATAGGAAGAGTGTGAACTGATAGTGTGTGTAGGAATTGAATAACTCTGAAAATAGTTCTAAATTAGTTGGTGCATTATACATGTCAAGATAGATAAAGATTTCGAACACATAAATTTTTTAAAAACAAAAAACGCATCCAATTAAAAAAAATCCAAAAAAATTTTCCTAGTTAATTTTAAATTAATTTAAAAGCCTTTTGAATTGTGTATTTGGTAATTTACTGAAGAGTAATTTTAATTTTATTTGATTTACTATATTTATATAATATTTTTAAATTTATTTTCTTCTTTTTGCCTTTTTAACAAGACTAATTCCTAGAGCAGGGGTGACCAACCCAAATGACCTTGCGGGCCACTTCGCAAAAACATTATAATCCTGCGGGCCGCATATAAAAATATATATCCTTATATTAGATTTGGTCCCATTACAAGCACTAATTGGAGTGGAAATTTGAAAAAAATAAACTATATTATTATTGTTTTCATTACTTTTCATGTATACATAGGTAATGTAATACATTTTTTGATTATTGAATAATAATTTTAATTTATTTAAATATTTAAATATTTGCTTCTCAATTATTTTACTTAGTTTTTGCAAGTTGATCTTAATGCGTATATTTGTACATCGTAATGGATGTTGCAGGTTTTCGTGCGATGAAGTTTAAGCGCGATTTACGTTTGATAAATTTCGTTTTCGAAAAGAACGATTCACCGGTGTAAGTTGCAAAAAAGTTGCATGAATCAAGTGTGATGTTGCGGGGTATCACTGCACTGCAATACTACCTCCTTCTTAGTATTTATAAAAACAGAAGCAACGTGATAAAATAGAAACAGTTATGGAATTTATTTGTTACAAAACACTACTCTAAAAACAAAAATATGGCACAAAATAATCTTATTTTGTACAGAATCTCCCGGGCCGAAAAAATATTCAAGGTGAGTTGACTACCCCTGGCCTAGAGGACCTTCACTAATTAGTGGCCAGACAATTCGTTTTATTTAGACAAACACTATTATATAAGCAAATAATCATAAAAAATACTGAATGGGAGTCTAAAATATTTTAATTGCACACAGTAGTCACACAAATTTTTTTTAAGGGGGGTGTCCATGGTCGAAAGTCCCCCAACTCGTATCATACCTCAAGACAACACCAATCGATTCTTCCGATTTTGTCGATTTCATTAACAAAAAACAGAATGTATTAATAATTAGCAATAATTAATAAAACAAATTGTTAATTACAAGTACTTAATTAAATTTTACGTTATGTATAAATAGGACTATCATCAATCAAAAAATAAACTCAAGGGCTTTGGGGGGGGGGAGTCCGGACCTCTAGGACACCCCCTTATGTGCGCCACTGATGGCACACGTAAATAATTTTCTTTCCTATGTTACAGGAATTACGGATGTAAATTGGAAATAACAGAATTAGACCTACATCTTTGCTTCTAAGGCAATGCTCTCCCGAAATTTTAAAGGATATATTTATACTGATTCCAATATGGTGTATAAATATAGTTTTTTAAATTTTCTCAAGTGATTTTACAATTTCTTAACAGACACCTTATTTAATTTTTGTAAAATTAGTGAATTTTAATAAGATTCAAATTAATTTTTGAAGTTACAGTCAGTGCAGAAAGAGTATTCCCGGGAAATTTTCTCAAAGCGCAGTAAAAATGCATGCGCAAAAATAACTAGTGACAAGTAATCTCAAATATTTAGGTATTGACAATAACCAAAATTTATTTCGAGGTAATGTAATTGATTGGTTATTTATGTCGCACTCAGGAACAATATCAGGACTAATAGTTAATGGGCCTCATGATTTTGAATTGCAGTCAAGAGAAAAGGACGGAGGTAATGTAATAAGTACCTTACTTTGATAATTCAATTTTCTTTAAAAGATTATACTGTAAATTTTTTGGAGCGATATCTAAGAATAACTTTAAGATGTGTAAATTGTTCCCCCTCCCTATATATCCTTTAGAAAGGAAACTGTATATAATATAAATAATGCTTTTTGAATCAAAACTAAATTTTTAAAAACACTTTTATGGCTGCAAGCTTTTGAAAGAATGAGGCTAAGTATTATTGATGACTATACTTTTTCGATAATATAAATTTACAACGAAGCTTAAAACTTAAAAGGCATTTAGCTTAAAAAGGACAAAGCTATAAAATCATTGTTGTGTTAAAGTTAAAAATATGAAGGAAGAACTAAAAAAAAAAAATACTCCGAAATTTAATATTTTTGCTTAATTTTATATTTATTAATAATTTCTAGTTCTAAGAAAATATCCACGTACACTGGAATAAAAAAATGATCACCACCACTGCAATGATAGCAATGTGAATGTCATCTTTTTTTAGGTTTCATATATTAATTTTTTCTGGAACACTTGTGTCATAAATATTGAAAATATTTTTAAATGCATTATCTTGACTGAATATGAGGCCACACAAGAAGCAAGATTATTTATTTTATTTATTTGGTTCTTCTAATATTGCTTTGGACTTCTAATAATCTATGTAATGCGATAAAAAAATACGAAGAAAATTGATATTTGTTATGACGTGACACCACAAGAGTTTTAGTGTCACACACTGTGATGCCTTTTAATGTTGTGTGAAAATCTTTAGATAATTCAACACTAAAAGTAAAAATTTTATTTCTTGATACTCGAGGGAGGATAAAAAATACAATAAATGGAGAGTATAAAAATACAATAAAAATATGTAATTTAAAAGAACTAAAAGATGCATCATCTTGGAGATTGGGAATGATTTTATAGCTAAAATCTGCATATCATAGTTCATGTCGTTTCAAATTCGCTATAATAATTTTGAATCATGCTTCTCTTCAGTTCGTATATGGTTATGAAGTATGAAATACAGTGGCGTTACGTACACCTCCGTAACATCCGCATCGCGGGGAGGAGGCCCAGGATTCTAGAGGACCCAAAGCCTGACTGACGCCAAGTACGGTTTGCGGCCCAAAACCTAAATTTGCGGGGGGGGGGGGGATATATTCTCCGTTACATTACTGATGGATGAACTCTTTAAAGTGTAATGGCTGTAATATCTGAAATTTGTTGAACTTTACTTGAGATGCTTATTTTGACTTGACTTTAAGAGCCTGCGTAACAGATTTTGTACGACTCCTAGAAAAAACTTCGATCAGTTAATTAACATCAGAATGCTTAGATAAGTTAATCCAACCAATAAAAATGGAGTTTTGAGTACATAACGGATTGAGAATGAGAAAGATTCATAATTTAGCTCAATGGAACATATTATTGCTCTGTTAAAAATTCATACCATCACCGTTACTTACAAAAAATGTTCATAATAACAGTGATCACTTTGTGTAACTTTCTGATGGGTATTTATTATAATTAATATTGTCTTCAATTATGTACTGTGAAAAAAACTGCCGATTTCAACTGGAAAATTCAATTTTGTTCCATCAGATTTTTACGTAATGTCGGATACTTTTATTATAATTTATTATTATTAATTGTTCTCACATTTTATATGAAGAAATTTTTCCTTAATTTAAAAAACTGATACTTGGATTTGCCAATTAAGTTTAAACTGTACGATTTGATCTTGATTGAAGTCATCTGTTGTGCGAATTTTTTACATTCAAGTGCGTAAAAAGCAATAAACTACAAACAACAAAATTCAAATTACAATAATGAGCAAAATTAAAATGATTTTTTATTTCATTTACACTCCCACCGAGAGTGTGAAGTATTAGGAATCTCATTTAAATTATAATTTACTGTTTAATTTACTACTGCCATCTAGCGGCTCAAAACTAAACTAATTTTCTTTTGAGAATTCGCTTTCCACATTAAAATATTTACCGATATATTTTGTGTTGTCTGGGAATCATACTTATTCAAAAACTATTGACAAATCTAGAATTTACCAATGATTTTAATGTAATAACATTCACATAGTTATACAATTTTGAGTGTTTTCTCTTTCTTTTTCTCTTAAATATTCTCTTCTGTAAATGTATAATTTTATTTAATAATATTTTAATTTCAAGTCTTCTAGTAATAATTTCACTCTAGTTTACCTAATCGTAATAAAAATATCCAATACACTTTAATGGATTTTTCTGTACATCTTATTAATTTTTGTAGTTGTGAAAAATTGGTTAAAAATTGGTTACATGTAGAATATCAATCCTACAGCTGTCTATTCGACTTTTTGATTTTTAGGTATATTCACCGTATAGCTCACACCCCTTCCTTACAAAGAATCCTGAAATGTTCGTGTGCAATGCTCTTATGTTTCAAAGTCATTTATTTGAGCAGAGACGTCTTAAGACTCTTTGAGACCCTGGGCCCACAGTAGTTTGTCGAGGCCCTGGGCCTCTATGCAAAAGTAGGCTCTACCTGAGATCTTTAAAAACACATAGTGTAAAGCATGCATTGTCAAATGAAACAAATAAATGCGCACGACTCACAATCTCAAAAAAATTAGGCACAAACCGGCTCGACCAATGACCGCCTTTCGAATAAATGAGTTAGTTGAATGATTGCTTAAGGTATTAGGCCTAGGCCTAGACATGGACAACGGTCATCACATGATAATACTGTCTGACCACTTTTGCCTGTTGACATGTAGTTTGAAATTCCCTGTTTTTCGGAGAATATGTGCAGGAATAATATTTGACCACTAAAATTATCAGGGGCATATCTTATTAAGACTGAGTCGAGAACGAAACGAGGTCCTCACCGAGGGTGAGGGCCTGGGCCCGGTCCCAGT